CCTCCAACAGCAGCAGCAACAGCAACTACACCAAGAGCACCACCAACAGCAGCAGCAACAGCAACTACGCCAAGAGCGCCTCCAACAGCAGCAGCAACAGCAACTACACCAAGAGCACCACCAACATCACCACTAAATGCTCATGGGAATGACTCAACATTAGTAATTGACAATGGTTAGTTGAAAGTATAAATTTTATGCATGTAATGTAATTGGTGAAATAAAAAATGCTGATACTGCTGCGTTAGATTACCCACCGAAATGTATATAATTGGCATACTGGTATTGCAAACCTTAGGTAAGTGCACCAGTAAATTAGACTGTTTCTATRCTATATGAGATGCTGTACATAAGGAATTTTGATATACAGTCAGCCTATATAAGACAAAACCATTTTTTCATTCATGCACATCATTAGGAATTCCAGTTCAAACCATTGTTTGGATTCATTTGCGTTAGGTTATGTGAAGTTTGGCATCTTGATCTGAAACAAAAACCCTTTAATAATCTACTATTAATCCAACCTATGAAATTCAACAAAAGTTCTATATCTATCATGAGGACATACTCTTTTTTTTTAGAAGAAAAGCTGGTGACAAATAAAAAACAAGAAAGAAATAAGAGGCGGAGGATCAGGAGAAGGCAAAATGAAGAAGAAAGGAAGAAAATGAGAGGTCTGTTCCTGCATTTTTTTTTCTTTTCCAACTAAATCCAAACAATAACAACTCAACGAACCAAATATCAAAGAAAAAGAAAAATGAACGGAAAAAAAGAAAAGACTGAAATAATCCATGTTGATAGCATTGAATGCCATAGAGATAGTTATTGTGTTTGGGTTTTCATTTGTCAATACTTCTTAGTATAAACACGATTATATTAACATTGTGTTTCAATTTATTATTTCTCATATCTTATCAATGTCAATTTTCAATATAATGTTTTCCAGCTCAGTGTATTAAAGACTTTAACTAAAGGTAAGTACTGTTGTACTTACGGGACATCATCTTAAGCCTGGTTCACACAAGCAACAAAAAACAAATGCMAACCCAGACAACATACGTAGATTCAGTAGTGTTCTGCCCATTGCCAGTACTTGTTTTTCTCTCACCTCAGTGAAAACTGCAGTACTGAGGCTGCGTATGTTGCGTTTGTTGAGTCTGCGTATGTTGCGTTTGCGTTGCTCATATGATCCAGGCATCTGTGAGGGGAAATAGCCATGGTAATTCCATGCCTACCACCCGGAAGGTGCTTTAATTAGTTATAGCATCTGCGAGGGAAAAGCATGCTAGGAGCTCTCATGCTTTCCCGGAAGGTGCTTAGGATAGTTACGCATCTGTGAGGGCAAATAGCCATGGTAATTCCATGCCTACCACCCGGAAGGTGCTTAGTTATGGCATCTGCGAGGGAAGGGCATATATGTCTGACCCGGAAGGTGCTTAGGATTAATTTTGAAATGAATTAAAATCTGTTTTGAACATC